AAAAAAAGTATTCTATGGTCCAGTGAAACATCACCTCCATTGTACTAGGGTATATTTAATAGCGTACTGCACTACCATACAAAAGGGCGAGAAAGAAGGAGGACTAAAGGAGAACAAATGCTAGGAGAACAGAAAGACAGGCACTATAATTACCCTGCGCTAGAACCTTGCAAGGCCCTAGGATTTAATGCCCTTCATCTTCCTAGGAAGGGCATGGGATTTTCTCAGACAAGACAGAAGAAAAAATTATGCAAAAGCACTCTTCTTCCTGGCTAGCTGCTCAGCTCAGACTCAGGGCAAGCCAGGTGCCTCCCTGGTGGCAACAGCGGGCGTCTCCCAGAGGCCTCCCAGGAAAGAAGCGGCCACTGTTCTGCTGGTCATTCCTAGTGCTTTCCTTCTCATTTTGTGAACGTTCCTGCAAGGACTTTTCACACAAAGAAACCATTTCCCAAAATTATCTACAGTTGAATGTTAAAGTCAGGTGGCAGTGAAAAAATGCCCTGCTAGCTACGCGCGCAAGCCCTTTTATCTGCGCTAGGAAGTTGCCTTCCTCTCTCATGACAGAGCAGTTTCTCATGCATAACTGATCGTTCTCACATTCACCTTGGGGAAAATGATAAAACTCAGAGCTAATTGCTGCCAAAATACTGTACATTAGACAAAAGCCTGTTTTTAAACTCTCTTTTCAATATAATTGAGTTTGGCATGTTAAGTATAGCAACAGCACAGGGATTTGCTGCTATGAGAGCTTAATCATAGCTGAGCAAAAAGCAACTCTTCCCAGCTCTCCTCCCAATCCCTAAAGGGAGCTCCGACCACTGCGCAAAAGCTCCACGCAGCTGGGTTTGACGGGCTGCTGCTGCTGGACGCCAACTGTGAAGAGCGCTTGCCTGGAGGAGCAGCGGCGAGGGGCAAAGACAGGCACCAAAGCAGCGCCCCAGGTCTGGATGCCAACGGATGTCCTTCTGTGGGGACAGGAGGGGACAGGCAGGAGGACAGGAAGGCTGGAAGCAAGAGCAGTGCAAATGCATCACGTACGGCGCTGTGCACGGGGCCACAAGCAGACGGCAGTGAAAGAGGAGTACTGAAATCCACAGCTGAGGCCCAGGGATGCTAGGGACGGAAGAGAGGGCTGAGGTTCCCGACAGAGGACAGAAAGTTAGATAATTATGGCTTTATTTTTTTTTTTTTTTTTTTTTTTTTTTTTTTTTTTTAATAGTTTTATAATAACTTATCCGCAGATTTCATAATCACATATCCCCAGTATACTTATTTGATGCTAGTGTAATCTGAGGGAACCAAAACTTTCCTAGACTTTTCCAGAGCTACAGCACTCCCCACTCTGAGCTGCCATTTCAAAAGCACCTTTTCCAGTTCTACAGGTTCTACAGAAATTAATTACAATGTAGAAATGCATAAAAACTGACTCTGCATCAAAACATTACAATTGATAAACTCGAAGTGAAATACGAGAACTCAGTTGCTGCCACAAAAAAAAAAAAAAAGCTCTACCTTCCTTCTGATTTGAAGAGACAACCCTCAATTCAGATAAGTCAGAGAGGGATTTGTTTCGGTCTGCGATGGAAGCAGCACAGACAACACGACGAGCCAGTTTCCCCTCACGGACACAGAGGCACGCTTTGCCTGCCCTCATCCAGTCTCTCAAAGCAGCTGAAACCATACGTGCAGCAACGAGGACTTTCGCATGAACAGTCAAACGGTCATTAGTCCTCATTCACCCTGCTTCGATTTAGCTTCTGTCCTTAGTAGTTGACAAGAACTGATACACTGCTTCCTTCAGAAATCATCAAGCAACGTGAAAAACTAATTCTTGGAGAACTGGGGAGAACTTCCATTCACTCCTTGGGGCAAAGGCTAGCGACTGCACCGCGGACTCTCTCCCACGAGACAGCTGCAGTGCAAACACCTATGGGAGTGCTCTGGGGCTGCACGCGGAAATCGATTAGCACGTCGGGATGACGCCGTACCGCACCTAGTGCCTTGGTCTTCTCGGTCACATCACCAAAAGCCCCAGCACTTGTGGAGAAGGTTGGATGCTTTTGAAAAAAATTCAGAGGATTCCCCTTTATTTCGCCTGCTGAAAGCACGCTGAAGCCAGCGGTTGTTGTAACGCCCAGAACTCTGCTGCTACCGGGAACCGGGGCAGCCTCTTCACCAACAAGGCTTTACAGCCCGTGAAGCCTCTGGTGGTCAGCACCGTGCCCGACGCTTCACACGCTGCTGCCCCGGAAAGACAAGACAGCCTGGACTTTTGAAAATCCTCAAAGAAACACACAGAGGAAAGGAAAGGCTTCAGACTCCTGCTCCCAGCTCCAGAACGAATGGCATTTTCCCACCCCTCTCATCCCTTTGATGGGAAATAAATTAGAACCACAAATAATAATGCTTAGCACTTCTGCAGGGCCTTTCATCTGAGAGCTCAAAGCTCTTAGTGTATTAATTCATTAAGTCTCGCAACAGCCCTGGCGAGGGGTGGAAACTTTACAGCTTTCAACTAGAGAAACAAACTGGGACCCAGGAGGTGAAGGCAGCTGGTTTTGTTCAAAACGCCTCAGCCCCAGGCTGTTCCCAGTCCCGTCCCCCCGCTCCTTTGCGGCGGTTTTCATGCCGGAGGAGAGGCAAGGCCCGGCCGGGGTGCAGCGGACCTCTCCCAGGCGGCAGGGCAGGGCCGGGCGACCGGTCCCACCTCTCCTTCACCCCCACGGGGAGCTCTCAGACCGCAGTTGCGCCAGACTCCCAGGCGTGCTCTGGGCCCCGTTTTCAAGTGCTCAGACCCTGCGATCTGGGCAGCTTTAGAAAGAGTTGGTCTCCCACTTCCATCTGTATTGTGTATTTATATGAGCCCCTCTCCTCTCACCCTCACCACCCTCATTACCATAATATCTGAATACCCTTTAAATATCTGAATCGAATCGCCTTTAAAATATCCCTTCTCCCAACCCACCCATGAGGTGAGAAAGTGCCATTAACCCCATTTTAGACACAGTGGTGGGAAAAGACAGAAATTAGATGGTTTGCCTAAAGCCACAAGGAAACCTGGTGAGAAGCAGGGAACCAAATGTGAGTCCCAAGTCTTGGATAAGCATCTTAACCATCTTCCCCCAGACAACCGCAATTAGGCAACGAAACGAGAGTCACATTTTCCCAGGGACTCGGTGACTTCCAAGAGCATGGCCTGCTTTCCACAATCCGTGCAAGCTCTTTCCACAGTCGGGCCTGGAATGGTTTAAAACGGCGGGGCCATCGAGCAAACTTAACGCCACTGATCACAGTGGAGAAACGCAAACTGCATTAACATTGGGAAAGAAGTAGTAAGCTTTTAAAAACAGACTAACATTCAGCAGTAAGAAATACTGTGAGCCAGAACCACTCTGCAAGCGGACAATGACCTTAAAGCGTTCTCCGCCAGCACACGAGGAACCGTTTCTACCAGCCAGGCAGAAACCTCTGCAAAGCAAAGCTCTGCTGCTCCGTTTGCCCCCTTCACACCTTTGGGCACGTTAGCAATAGTTTCACCTGACATATCAAGCAAATTGCTTCAAGCAAAACAAACTGGACGTTGCCTTTGCAAAAGAAAGAGCGACAGCAGTTAAGGCAGGTGATGGGGGTTTTTGGAGTAATCTGATGCAATTCATTATGATTCTACAGTTTTAGAGAAATGCTGTAGAATTACATATAACCAAGGCTAAAGCACTCTACAGCATTTGGGAGAAAATGAAATGCTTCCCAATTTATTGATTTATCTGTCTAAATTTCCTCATCTGTTAAATAGCTGAAAGATATTTAACCTGCTTGTTGCAAAGCATAAAATAGCACTTATCAGGATGATATTTGCACCTGGCCATTATAATGCTGGGTTCTATGCAAGTGCCTCAACTCATACCTGAAACTATTTTCAGATCATTGGAGGAACGTTGAAAGAGAACAGAAACTGTTACTGTTTGCATTTATTTTTATGGAGAACATTTATTCGTCACGTATAAAAAAAAATGCAGAAAACAAAACAGTAGCATCTTTGCAGCCTACAGTTACCACATCTCCCTTAAAGCGAAATAGAGCATCGAAACAAACTCAGTTACAAAAGGTATTCTAGTCTAGATATGATAAACGCTTGTACAGAGACATCTGACCACAACAAACAGGTTTTGCATGCTGTAAATGGATCCAGAGAGCAAAGGAAACTAAACCGCACCAGGAGAAGGCAGAAGGAACTGAGACACATCAGCAGCCACAAATAGTTGCTCAGACAAGGTGAGCAGCAGCAAACAAGCAATTGGGCTGTCTCTCTTGGATGAACATTACCCCTAGTATTTGCTGGCCAGCTTGATATTAACAGGGAGCCAGCGATCGCGGCATGCTGATGTGCCTAACAGTACACGAAGCAGAGCGACGGAAAAACGCCCCTCTCCGTGCCCAAGGGGGTTTCAAGGATCGCCAACCAACGTCTCCAAGGCTAGGTAACCATTTCAGGTGCTCATGCGTGGCCCTCAACCCCGAAGAGCAGCCTGTTGCGAACAGCAGGGCAGAGCACAGCCCCCAAAAGTGACCCATCTCTGAAACCTGAGCTGCTCAAAGCCTACCCGAGGCCGGTTCCTCCTCCATGCGAACAGGGGGCTGAAGAACCCCAGAACCAGCTCGAAACCAGGCAACTTGAGCACACAGAGGAACGCTGCAGACCGCTGCGCATTGAACTGTCAGTCTGCTACCACCTGACAAAATCCCTGCTCTGCACAACAAAACTTGTAACTTGGCCGCTCTCCCACGCACTCCCAGGAGATACCTGCAAAGCAAACAGGGATTTTTCACTTCAGCTCGCGTCTAGACATCGGGAACTCTTATTTCGGCATTGTGAGGGAACGACT